GGGGGGGGGGCTCTTCAGAACTTTGTCAGGGATGTGAATCTGCTGTGTCTCTCTCCCTCCAGAAATTCATACCACTGGTTTGCAAATGGGGGCATTTTTACCCCCCAGGGGACATTTGCCAGTGTTGCGACATTTTTTATGGACTTGGGAGGGTGCTACTGGCATCTAGTGGGTGAAGGCCAGACATGCAAGAATGCACAGGACAGTACCCCCCCACCCCCCAGCAGATTTATCCAGTCCCGAGGTTATGAAACTCTGCTTTACACAGGTATTGCCCAAAGTGTGCTTCTTGGAACACCTGTATTACTTACAAACAAGGGATCTGTGCTCAAACAGGTTTCTGGAATGTTGGCTATTTAATCCCTTTGTGGAAGCTCTATTAGCATATTCAAGGCTCTGAGAAGTCCTGCAGTGAAGAGACTTGCTTCCCAATCTGATGACAAAATGGCAGATTAATTTAGCAACCCCCATTATATCCCAAACCGAATCTGGAAATTCTCTTAGAGGGTTCCATCAGGTGTGTGTGTGTCCTGGGACTGCAGAGGCAGGAGATACCAGTAAGGCCCCTGCCCTTGGGAAAACCCACAGTTCTGACAGACCTTGCGTTCAAAAGAATTACACCAGTTCTTGTAAAATCGTGTGCTTAGTGCATACACATAAAAGATGTTTTTGCCTTTACAAAATCTGGCTTAGGCAGGGTAGCACCTCTGAGGAAGCAACCTCCAGCTAAGGAGGAAGGAGGGGGAGGAATTAATTATGGGCAAGGGGCAGAAAAGAGCTTTCTAGGCAGAGGGAAAGCTTGTGCAAATGTCCTGTGGTGGAAATAGGATATTTGACCTCTAGGAGACAAAAAGAGGTCAACAGAGATGCAGTGGAACAAGGGAACTGGGAGCAAAGTATATATATATTTGGGGATAGTTTTTTTGACATGTAATTCACATACTATGCAATTCATGCATTTAAAGAGAAGTCTGTGGTTTTTAGGACATTCACAGAGTTGTGCAACCATCAACACTATCAAATTTTTTAATGACTTTCTTTTTAAAATTTATTTATTTATTTTGAGAGCACACAAGCAGGGTGGGGGCAGAGAGAGAGAGAACCCTGGGCAGGCTGTCAGCTCAGAGCCCCACACGGTGCTCAAACTCACGAACTGTGAGATCGTGACCTGAGCCGAAATCAAGAGTCGGACGCTTAACCCACTGAGCCACCCCAGGTGCCCCGTAGACTGCTTTTAACTTTTGCCAGACTGTTTTCCAAAGCGGCTGCTCTGTTTTTACCTTCCCACCAGCAGTGGGTGACAGTTGTAGTTTCTCTGCATCCTCTCTAACACATTTTGATTCTAGTCATCCCAGTGCGTGCAGTAGCGTCTCGTGGTTGTGTTTTTTGTGTTGAGAGAGAGCGCATGCACGAACGACTGGGAGATGGGCAGAGGGAGAGAGCGTCTCAAGCAGGCTCCATGCTTAGATCAGAGCCCAATGCGGGACCTGATCCCACGACTCCAGGATCATGACCTGAGCTGGAATCAAGAATCAGACAGTCAACCAACTGAGCCACCCAGGTGCCCCTCATGGTTTTGATTTGAATTTCCCTAGTGATCGATGATTTTGATCATCTTCTCATGTGCTTATTGGCCATTTGTCTACCTTCTTTGGGGAAGTGTCTATTCTGAGACTTTGACCATTTTTTAAAATTGAGTCATTTGTCTTTTTGTTATTGAGTTGTAAGAATTCTTTATGTATTCCAGATACAAGACCCTTAGCAGATATGGGATTTGCAAGTATTTTCTCCCAGTCTCTGGGTTGTCCTTTCAGTTTCTTGAATCAGTGTCCTTTGAAACTCAGAGTTTTTCATTTTGATTAAGTCCGACTTATCAAGTTTGTGTTGTTGCTCGTATTTTTGATGTCATATCTAAGGATTCCTCACCAAATTCAGAGTCACAAAGACTGAGCCCTATATTTGCTTCTATGAGTTTTACAGTTTTACCTTTTACCTCCATGTCTTTTTTAATCCATTTCTATATGGTGTGAGGTAAGGGTCCAAATTTATTCTTCCATGGGCTAACTAGTTGCCCTGCGTAAACTCAGAGGGTTTAAGCTCAGCCATGCCGCACCCCTCCGTAGCCCTTGCAGCCTCTTGCCGGCTATGTTGGAGAGAATTTATGGAGCTTGGGGCACCTGGCTGGCTCAGTCGGTTGAGCATGGGACTCTTGATCTCAGGATCATGAGTTGAACCCCGTGTTGGGCATAGAGATTACTTAAAAAAAAAAAAAATCTCATGGGTGCCTGGGTGGCTCAGTCAGTTAAGAGCCTGACTCTTGATTTCAGCTCAGGTCATGATCTCATGGTCTCATGGTCTGTGGGTATTGAGCTCCGTGCTGACAGCAAGGAACCTGCTTGGGATTCTCTCTCCCACTCTCTCTGCCTCTTCCCTGACTGTGCATGCTCTCGCTCTCAAA